TCCGATCTGCAGACCAGGGACACCAGGAGCAAAGCCTCTGAGGACGCCAGCAGCGGGACAGCCGCGGCGCGCCTGGGCTGCCCCGCTGCCCGAGCCCCTCCGCGGCTTTGCTCCGCGTCTTCCTAGTCTGCAGACCAGGGAGACACGGAGAAAGCCCTGGAGTACACGGGCGGCAGGACCGAGAGGTCCCGCAGTCCGTGTCCTCCGGGGCGAGTCCCGTTCGTAACTGCGGATCCGACATAAGTCGGATCCGCGTAAGTCGGGGACTGCCTGTAAATGTTTTAAACTTTCCCATGTTAGTTTACAAAACTATTTTAAAATAAAGTAAAATACTGTGTCTAACACAAAAGGTTTCAACATTGTCTTTATTACAAGAGGGCGGGGGACCTTTTTTGGGTCTGGGGCTATTGACTCGGGGGGGGGAAAAATTAGTCAGGGACCACGCAAGTAAGATGCAAAAAAAATCCAAAATCCCCAACCCTCACTGTTGTGACCCCCAACAAAGAAAACTCACTCTCCTGGTGCTTCAATCGCCGGGGGACAAAAAGGACTGAGGTTCAGGGCTTACCACAGTCCAGAGTAACTCTTCTGGGGTTAGCGGATTTTGTGGACCCCCTACGCTTTGGGATGGGGCCAAAATGAGGGGTTCAGCGTGCAGGACAAAACTGCCGGTGAGTGGGATAGGAATGAGGGTACAGGATCTGGGCAGGGGTAGGGTATAGAAAGGGGTGAGGATGCATGATCTGAGTGGCAGGTAGGTTGCAGGAACAGGCTGGGAGTAGTGTCTGGCCGAGGTGAGGGGGCAGGAGCAAGGGAGAGGGCAGTGTGTGGTCTGGAGGGAGGATGCAAAAACAAGGGTGGGTGCAGAGTATGGCCAGTGGGGAGGCTGCAGGAGCGGGTGGAGGAAGGGGGCGTAGGGTATCTGGCAAGGAGGGAGGATGCAGGAGCAAGGGAGGATGCAAATGATCTGTGGCATGAGCTCAGTACCCAGCCAGGAAGGAAGTTGGTGCTGGCACTACAACCTCATGGGAGGACTGCAAGGTTGGAGCATCAGTGCGGGCTCCCTGCTGGCAGGGTAGGAGGTGTGGACTGAGCTCGAGCCGCGGACCACCTGCAAGATGTCCCCAGTTGGAGAACCTCTGCTTTAATAGGATCTTAAGTGGTGTAAGACACATATAACTAATCCACTGTTTGGGCTGCTAAAGTTATTAAGACTGATTTTAAAAGTGTAAATTGTGGGTAACAGCCCCGGAAAATCAATCGAGCTCCTCACAATAGCCCAGAGGTTCTCAAATTGGTTTCAGGGAGTTTTGATTACCCTATCCATTCTACCAAATGCAAGGCAGAGCACAGCATAGAAATGAACAAAAATACCATGCTATCAGATTTCACCAGGGTCTGTTATTAATGGGAATTTTTAATAAAAACTAAATTAAGACTAAGAATTTGCAAACTCTCCTTAACTCACATGCAATATGTAGGTATTATGGAACACACAGTAAAGAAGTTTAGCCAGCCTCCCCCATTTTTAAGTAAACCAAACAAGTTCAAGAGGTAAATAAATAAATAAATAAATAAATAAATAATAGAGAGACTTGCTTTATATCTTTATCATAAGCTTATGGTTATCTTAAATTCAGAAAGGTCTACACATTTTACTGGTTATAAATTTCCACTAGCATTTGTGCAATTCCAAAGTTTGTCTTCGAACAACTAATATAATGATTCATTATTTCCTAATTACACAAGTCTAGCTGCAACTCGAACAAATTATGGAACCAATCAAGTAGATAACGACAGGCAGGGCAGAGTCTTCAGAAAAGTGGATTAGACTTTTATAAATTACCTTGTGGCTGGGTAAAAGTAACATGAATGCAACTTTCATTTGATTGGGAAAATCCTCTATCTGAAACCATTGACGAATGTCCTTTAGCTGACACACAGTAAGTGGACCTCATAGAAATGAGTGGAATGTATATGCTACATGTATTCTTCTTACATAGGTCTGTTTGAAACTCTTTGATCTGAAAGAAATGTAAAAAGTTAGATTAGGGCCTTAATTTGAATTTATAATATTGACTCAACATGTAAAGACAGCATTGCCACCTTAATGCTAGAACTTAAAATGCTAGGGATCAGACCTGTTACTGCTACAGATCTGTGCACTGAAACAGCTGTGCATCTCTGCTAACAGTTATTTGCAAGCCAACAACCCTAACTTCTAGTAGTATTAACAAAAATTAATTGCACAATAATGAGACTCCAGCTGATCCCAGGCATTTCAACGGGGCAGCGCCGTGAGAACCGGTCTCTGCTGGAGACCCCAGCTGACCCTAGGCTCCGTGCAGTGCTGCCCTATTAGACCACAGCGCCTACAGGTAAAATTTCCAGAGCATCTAAATGACTTAGGTTCAGAAATCCCATCTATGTTCAAATGCCACCTATGCCCCTAAGATACTTAAAAATGAGACTTAAGGGCTTATGAAAATTTTATCCTATAATGAAACATGTCTGTGTACTTTTTTCTTGATCTCTCTCCTAAGGACTCATCCACCATCCTTACTGAGCAAAAGAGCAACATCTTGGAAATCCAAAACTGTTCTAGTGAATTGCTCTAGTGGCCTTGTTCGCAGGAATATAAATTTTAAAATCTTCCACAGAGGTGGCCCCTAAATAGGATCTGTACCTTCAAACTATCTGGTGAAAATCTGCATTGATTTTGAAGTTAAGAATGTGTACACAAAGTAAAGTAAAGTTTAGATAATTTAAAATCCTCCAATCTAATATGGGCATTTTTTTTTTGAATCGCACTAAAACATCTCCCCCAAGAAGCGATGTTCCTTGTAAACTGCGTAGCTGCCCAGCTGTTTAATGAGCCCCACCTTGAGGCTCAGAGCTCCCTTGCAGGGAGCTCAGCAGACTGACTGGGGGAGGAGCCCTCTGGCTGAGCAGCAGCTAACTGCTACAAACAGAGGAGCTCAGGGAGCAGGTAGGGAGGAGAGATAAGGAGGGAGTAAGTGGTGGGGGAGGAGAGTTGTAGGGTCGGGGAATTTGGGGAGATGAGGAGGAGGGAGGTAGTAAGTGGTTAGGGAAAGTCAGGTTTGGGGGAAGTCCTGTTTCCGGGCTGGCAGAGGTAGAAGCAGAAACCCAGCATTCTCCTCAAGCCTTCTAGGCTGGGAAGGAGAAGTGGAGGGGAAACAGATTGTATGGATTATGTGGGGAAATATGGGATGGGTGAGGTGAAGGTGGAGAGTTTGTTTGTGCTTTCCTGATTCCCAGCTAGGCTGCTGGTGCCTTCAGGTCTGAAAAGCAGGATTTTATCCCAGCTCCTGGCTGGGCCGGGGGGAGCAGATTACACAGGGATGGGTAGGTGCTGGCATCTGTGTCGGAGGGGAGGGGGGGGAAGAGGAGAGTTTGTTTGGGGTGCCCTGACTCACTTGTTGCAGTCCAGATGGGAGTGAATGAGACCCTCTGTCTGTCTGGATTAGAGGGGAGGAAAGCAAGGTGCATGCGTGTGCCAGGACATTTGCATGATTACATTTTAAACAAAGTTTACACAGGTGTTAATGGCTTACGGTAAGAAAGAAATAAAAAGATTCTAATGGATTTTTTGGAGTGTTTCAGATATCTAAAACTAGCTTAATTATTTTTTTATATCCTGTGTTACTAATTAATACAAGATAAACTGCATGGCATTAAGACCAGATCTTTGCTATCTGGTAGAGTTCCGGTTCTTGAGCGTCAGAAGTAACAAGTAGTAGGTGTGATGCTAATTGTTTTGTAAGATCAAACCTTATCTGCAAGCTCTTTGAAACCTGGATCAATCAACAAATTCTGAAGCCATGTGTTAATTTGCTCTGGGGCTTTTACTCTTTGAGTTGGTGACAGACAAAGTAAAAGTTTCAAACCAGGAGAATTTGTATCTATTTTCACAGGTTTCTGTTTCACTTGTATTTGTACAGCATGGATCTTAAATTCCCCAAAGAAACTATATGAGCTTGAGTGAATGCCTTCTACTCTCCTTTTGGGTGTCAGTAAATAGTGTATTAATATTTGCAAGGAGAGCATGACTATTTATAGTTGACTCAGATTCGTTCATCATTTTAAAGCTAAGGTATGTGTGGATAATATGCAATATGTTTACTAACTTGAGCTGGTAGAAAGGATGATAATACATGTACTCCACGTGTAGTGTTAATTTTCTTTATTTGTTTTCATGTTAAATAAACATCATAAGCATTGCTCCTTGTTAATTATCCCTTGTTTTAATATATTTTCTTCCACCCTATGGACTGTTTAATATATATATTTATATCTAAGTTGATTTGTTTGTACTGGTGGTGTACATCCACACACTACCTTAATATCAGTGTTGCACATAAGAAATTTCACCCGCTCAAGAATGGAAAATGTAGAGGGAACACTGCCCAGGATGGCTGATTCACTGAGCATACAGAGCAGACTGGATAATATCCAGTGAATGAAGTAACTCAATGCAATAAAGAAAATTTGGGTCAAGCCTTATATGGAATCACATTCTACATATCATTGTCATGCAGTAAAATTAATATAAATTAACAGATAAACTTTGAATCCATAATGTAGTGACTCATTATTTGGGCAGGATAAGTGGAATATAGTAAGTGAGATAGTGGACAAGACATTTAATTAGGTGGATAAAAGCAAATACTGAACAACTCCTTCCATTCAATATAAGGTGCTCAAACACCACAGTGAGGGACAAGAAAAACCTAAATGGATTAGGTGTGAAAGGCACATTTAGTAAAACAGGGGCCCTATAAAAATAACGGCATGTGACCACGTGATTAAAAATTACTACAATGAATACTCAAAAGACAGGGCTGTGATTGAGGTTCCACAAATCAACATTTCAAGGATTCACTTGTGTATTAGCAATGTTTACATTAAAGATATTTCTCAGTATCCCTTGGATGTGTGTGTAATTTAAAGTAATAAAAACTTATTTGTTACTCTATCCCCTTTCTAAAGCTATGTATTTGTTTTTTTAAAAGGCCAAAAGGTATAGAATCATGGAATACTAGAACTGGATGGGACCTCGAGAGGTATGATCTAAAACTTTCAATTTCAGAGGTATGATCTGAAACTTTCAATTTAAAACATACCGGATCTTCACTGGACCGCAAAAACACCGTGTAGGTGAAGTCTTTCTTTCTTCTGACAGTGGGAGGTAGTTTCCGATATGGGTGGTGAATCTCAACCTTGATTTCATTTGTCTCAATTGAAACATTCAGAGTAGGTGCTCCTATTTTTCCTGAAACAAACGTGTACCTTCATTATTAGGCTGAAGAATTCTGAACCGGAATTCAACGACAAATGTGGGGCTAACAGATAACAGCATTCATGGTTTATTTTCAAGAGGAAAAAATTACTTCAGAAGACATACCAAAATAATGAAAACGATTACACACCTAATGGGAGGGATGCTGCAGAGGAACTGAGTCTTGGTTAAAGGAATATACTTTAGGCTAGGCACAAACCTAGCAAGAATGGTTAGTATCAGTGAGGTCTGCCAAGTGGCTTATAAAATTTAATAGAAAAATGTAAGCATATAGTTGTTTGAAAAAGTGTCAAGTGGGCAAAAATTAAAGTACTGAACAGAAAAAGAACATGGCAAGTGAACAGATGTGAAGAATGTGTAAATAGGCCTATTTTGGTTAAAGGACGGCTTTTTATTTCAATGTAGCTATATCAACTAGTAAATTAAACTGGAGCAAGCCATTTTTAAATCAAAACAAGAACAAAAAAACTGTTTATACAAGAGTTGGTTTGCACAGATACAAAAATGACAGGAGACAACAATTTAAATGTAATCAAGGGCCAGAAAAGCCACTAAAAATCTTTTGGCAGGCCATTTTTATTAAGAGGCTTCCGGATGAAGCAGAAAACAAAGCTGTTGTGGTCCAAAAACCAGCAGCTCTTGTTATCTGGAGGGCAGCTCACTTGGCTGTTGCTGTGAGAACATGTGCCAGAGCAACAAGTCCTGCACTGATACCACAGTTCTGGGCTCTGCAAAATAAATTAGGCTCTGTGCCCACCAGGAAGGGAGCAACCCCACCAAAACTGGAGAGCTGCAACCTCCTGGCTAACTCCACCAGGTCCTGGGGAACACCCTTCTCTAGGTGGTGGAAAGAGCTCCATCCTGATAGCCATCTTCTGGCTCCATGATGGCAGAGCCTCTTGTCCCTTTCCTCTGGACACTGGAAGAGCTGCCTTCTCAGGTTCAGAATTAGGTAGGCCTGGGCACTAGGGCTGCCAGGTGTCCAGTTTTCTACTGGACAGTCCGGTAGAAAAATTCAGAAAATACTGGACATGTGCAATGTCCGGTATTTTCTGAAATTCTGGCTGGGCGCCAGACGGAAGCCTGGCAGGGGTGGGAGAGCAACTGGGAGGCGGGCTGCGATTGCCGCTGGGAGCCCTGTGGTCACGTGCAAAAGCCGGGTGGGGTGGGGCGGGGGATGGGATTCCCAGCCACTCCCCCCACCCGGCTTCTGCACACAGCCAGAGGCTCCCAGCACCAATTGCGGCAGCCAGTGGCTGCACCCCCTCTCCCCCCATCAGCTCTGCTTCCCGCCCCACCCCTCTTGTCCAGCCCTCCCAGCCCCCGATATCCCCCAGCTCTGATGCCCACCCCTCCCTTCCTCCCGGACAGCCCATCCCGTCCCTCCTCCTTCCCTCCCCCCGCCCACGATCAAGTGTGTCTGGTATTTTGTGGGGTGTCTACCTGGTAACCCTACTGGGTACTACCACGGGAAAGCCTAGGTAATCTATGGTTACACCCCCTGGTTAGCAGGCCAAATAAAATGTATCAGAGCACCAGTTGTGGCCCAGGGCTGCCCATTGCTTGTCCCTGATTTTAGCAAATCCAGTGTAACTTCCCATATATATATTATATACACACACACACACACACACACACACACACACACACCCCTTAAAATTCTGCCCTTGACAGAAAACAGAAAAACAAAGCAAAGCAAATGATGTATACATGAGTCTAAATCACAAAATATAGGACTATTGCTTGATGAAATCTCACTCAAATATTATGCAGGATCTACAACCACCACATAAAAATCAAGATTATTAAATTTGGAAAGAAAAACAAGCTAGGACAATAAGCAATCTCAGTAATTACCATGGTAATAGGATAAGAAGTTGCTTATAAAAAATAGTACCAATTTATGTCAGATTGGGCATTGGACACGGACCAAGGGCCTTGCAGACACACTCTCTTTTTTGCTGTAAAGCTAAATGAAATGCTATTACAGGTTGAACCTCTCTGGTCTGGAACTCCCTGGTCTGGCAGGATGACAGATGTTGCTAGACCTGAGAGCCCCAGCTGCAAAGGTTGAGAACAGGCGGGCGGAGGGGGGGGGCACGGAGCGGAGCAAGTCTGGTCAGCAGCAGCCTGCAGGGGCTGTGAGTGGAGGTTAGAGAGCCCCAGGAGCAGCTGCTGTCATGTGTGGAGCTGGGGGCAGCAGAGCCAGGCTGGTGGGCTAGAGGAGTTCAGGTGGTGCCAGATTATCGGATATGCCGGAGTATTGGGACGTACTCCAGCGGGGGGCTGTGATGGGTCTGCCGGGACCTGCACTGTGTCCGGGAATGGTGCGGTGAGGGGCAAACCCTCCGCCGTTTTGCAGGAAGGCGGGGGAAGCCCCGCGCTGCCGCCGAGTTTCTGGGAGAGGAGCGGGCTCCCCACCCCCGAGACTGCAGTACTGTAGTTAACGCCAAGCAGGCGAGTGAGGGGCAGTACTGCGGGACCAACCCGGCAGCACCCCAGCTGCTCTGCAGCTTCCCCAAGACCGCCACTAGTCAGTTTCAGCAGCAGCAGACTTGGGGAAGCGGCGCAGGGCAGAGCAGCTGGAGCGCTGCCAGGTTGGTCCCACAGTGCCGTCCCCACCCCCGTTCGGCGCCCAGCAGCACCCCAGCTGCTCTGCAGCTTCCCCAAGACCGCCACTAGTCAGTTTCAGCAGCAGCAGACTTGGGGAAGCGGCGCAGGGCAGAGCAGCTGGAGCGCTGCCAGGTTGGTCCCACAGTGCCGTCCCCACCCCCGTTCGGCGCCCAGCAGCACCCCAGCTGCTCTGCTCCGCGCTGCTTCTCCAAGTCCGCTGCTGCTGAAACTGACGAGCGGCGGACTTGGGGAAGCTGCAGAGCAGCTGGAGTGCTGCTGGGTCGGGCCCACAACGCCGCCCCTCACTCCCCTGCTCGGTGATAACTACAGAACTACAGTCTGGAGGGTGCGGAGTCCACTCCCCTCCTGGAAACTCTCGGCGATGGCGCGAGGCTTCTGTCGCCTTCCTGCAAAATGGCAAAGGGTCGCTCCTCGCCCCGCCATTCCCCGGCCACCCCCCAACCCACAGTCGGTTGCAGTGCAGGTCCCGGAAGACCCATCATAGGGGTATAATCCCCTTTCCCTCTTCTCCCCTTCCCTTTCCTCGCCGGGAGCACCCATGGGGCTCACAGCAGCTCCAATTGTCCGCCTGGCCGGAGCACTTCCGAGTTCCAGTTGGTGCCGGACTATCGGGAGTGCCGGACAATTGGAGTTTTACTGTACTACAATGCTTAAAACTTTAAACACAGGACATTATGCTATGCAGTCATACTACAGTGGACTTCCAGGTAATCATTTTGGTTGATCAGCAAGTGGATAACCGAAGGCACAACGAACAGGGATAACTTTGTCTAGCATTGTAAGACAGCACATCAGGGGTGCAAAATAAGGAAAGTATGCTAGTGAGTCCATTACCAGCACCATTTCTCATTAAATATTTGGAAAGGCGCTTAGATATTCGTGAATGGGCCATACAAGTAAAGAATGCTAGTAAGCAACCTGTATGTTCATCCCAGCCCCAAGTTATTACTATGATATTCTGAACCAAATATACAGTATTGCACCAGAAAGGTTTTTATAGTCATCTTTTAATGTAGAAGAAATGCTATGAATTCATTTGAATTCATTCAAATCACGTTTCTCGATATAAAATGTATGTTTACATTTAAACTTACCATCCCGTCGCAGGACAAATTCTTTAGTCTCAACAAACTCAGACTCTTCAGACTCAATTAAAGCTTTAACTCTAGCCCAGTAAGACTGACTGGGTTCTTCTATTTCATTAGAGAGGTCACAATAATGTTTTATTGTTTTCACGCAGGTGCTGACTGTCTTATATTTCCCTAACCTGTAAAACAGATTGAAGAGTAATTAAGGTTATTTTACAGTCTTTTACAAAACAGATGTCAGAATGGAGAAATTCTGTCTTCATTTATACACATACTGAATTCCATAGGGACTGCATGATTTCACTGTGTAGAAATAAAACTTTCCTGGTGATTTAGCAAAATGAAAGGAATCACTACATGAATGCTTTTAAAGTAGAGATGTAAAAATAATTAAAAAATGTAACCATGATACAGCTAAGAATCCTAGGATATGTCTACACTACCCTCCTAGTTCGAACTAGGAGGGTAATGTAGGCATACCGCACTTGCAAACGAAGCCCGGGATTTGAATTTCCCGGGCTTCATTTGCATAAGTGGGGAGCCGCCATTTTTAAAACCCCGCTGGTTCGAACCCCGTGCAGCGCGGCTACACGGGGCACAAACTAGGTAGTTCGAGCTAGGCTTCCTATTCCGAACTACCGGTACACCTCATGGTACACCTAGTTCGAAATAGCGGGGTAGTGTAGACATACCCCTAGCTATTACATGCACTGTGTGCACTGCAGTATAAAGTTGAAATAAGCAAACCCACCCTGGGCTTCTGGTCCTGCTCCTGGGGAGGCTTCACTACAGACTTTGCAGCTAGCTTCCTAGAAGCAGAGGCCCTCACAGGCCCCTCTCCCAGGGAGCTGGTATGTAACCTGTGGTGGGGGAGCTGGGCCAGGCCTGCTAAGGACAGGGGCTGCTCCAGCTGGCTGGCCCCTTTCTGGAGTGGGACCTACTGGTTAACAGGAACTGGTAAGCGGCACCTGTTAAGGGTGAGTCATACTGGTTAACCAATTAGCCAATTAAATCCCTATTTTAAAGAAAATAAAGTATAGGCATAATGCACGACACAGACACTCACTCATAAGGTTTGATTTCCACGATAAAGTGAGGGATTGAAGGCATGCTCATGTAATCCCAGCGCAATCTAGTTACGAAGTTCAAAGATTCTATTACAACGTTTGTTGGCGAAGGCACTAAAAAAAGAAATAACACAATCAGTATCTTGATGGAGTAGATTTTGTGATATATGAGAACAATCATCAGTAATCCTGAAGTAGTCAAAAAGCAATGCATTTACAAAAAGCTGTTTCAGAAGTCATTGAAGGTAAGATGCTACTTGCTGCCAGGGCCTACATGAACAGGACAGAGCCTGGCAGATCCGCATTGGCTGGGGTAATGGCTTATGTGATATGCTACCTATTTTCCCAACAGCTGCCGGGTAAAGGTATGATGCTGTTCCTGGACCCCCATCGAAGGCTGCCTATGAGATATGATAAGGAGCATTTACTGTTTCTTTCTCTAATCACAGATGTCAACTCCTGTGATGGTTGTAGAATCCCATTATTTCCACTCTTTTCAGCCTCTTGGCTCTTGTAAGAGAGATTGTTTTATTATAACTACATTGTTTTCCAGAGGGTTCTCAATCATTTTTAGGTTAACATAAATGGGAGTATTGTGAGCAAGACACAAGAAGTCATTCTTCCACTCTACTCTGCGCTAATTAGGCCTCAGTTGGAGTAATGTCTCCAGTTCTGGGCATCACAAATCAAGAAAGATGTGGAGAAATTGGAGAAGGTCCAGAGAAGAGTAACAAAAATGATTAAATGTCTAGAAAACATGACCTATGAGGGAAGACTGATAGAACTGAGCTTGTTTAGTCTAGAAAAGAGAAGACTGAGAGGGAACATGAGAGCGGTTTTCGAGTATCTAAAAGGGTGTTATAAGGAGGAGGGAGAAAATTTGTTCTCCTTGGCCTCTGAGGATAGGACAAGAAGCAATGGGCTTATATTGCAGCAAGGGAGGTTTAGGTTGGACATCAGGAAAAACTTCCTGTCAGGGTGGTTAAACACTGGAATAAATTGCCTAGGGGGGTTGTGGAACTCCATCACTGGAGATATTTAAGAGCAGGTTAGACAGACACCTGTCAGGGATGATCCAGAGTGACAGTGTTTGGTCCTGACAGGAGGGTAGGGGACTGGACTCAATGACCTCGAGATCCCTTCCGTTTTAGGATTCTATAATTAACCTCGTCCTGTCTTACCTTTCAAGAGGGAAGCCTACTAGAAAAAATAGGCTTGTCTCAAGTGTTTATTATACCTTCTGTTGATTGCATATAATTTTTTTAATCACTTTGGAGCAACATGCTTTTGCATACCACTATGAGGTCAGGTGCCTTTCTTTGCTTATATTCTGGCTATCCACTTGAAGTGAGCAGCAATGGTTCTAAGAGAAACATTTTGCTTCCCCTATCTTGTAATCGTTTTAAGTATCTAAGCATGGACAGAGCCTGAAAATCCACTTCCCTTGGCAAGTAGGAAGTTTTTCTAAGCAGGTGTCATCACTTCTGTAGATACAGCTTGTGAGTATCGGACCAAAGCCTCATGTAAGCTGGACACAATTTGCATGAGAAACAGATTCCAAGTTAATAGGTTTTTTAAAGTACATTTCTAGCTTTTATAATTTCAAAGAAATTTTAAAGAAAGAACCAAAGAAAAGCAATGCAGTACTGTCTTCATCAGTTTGCAAACCGAGTGAAACAGCATCTAAAACTGCTTCTCCTATATCACTGGATCAACCTCCTCTGAAATTTCATGAGAACCTGGATGCAAAATTAGTACTTCAGTGCCAGTAATCTAAGCAGAAATATCCAGTTTATCCATCATTTACTAGATGTAGTTATGGCTATTGAATTAAAGAAGGAGTGGCTGTTAACGACTGCTGAAACTGGCATCTGAAGAATGGACAATAGCAAAACTTCTTTTGATTCCATTTGGGGACCGACAGGCTTTTAAACCAGATTCAGAATCCCAGTGTCTCTTTCAATACCTCTAATATCACCCATACAGGGTGGGAAGAAATGCATCACCTCCTGTTCATGGCCCCTTAATCGCTGGCCTGAGGCCACAACCTCAAACTACTTCCCAGGCTTTCCCTAGTGCCCAAAATCCCAAAAGCTCCCCACCTAGTAGCCATAATCTCCCGTTTCCTCCTGATAACTTTTGCAATGCTGCCAATACAAGTCTCTAGAATGTAATATTAGCTCCACTTCATTTTACGCTGTACTAAAGTTTTAATGTCAATACAGCGCAATGTATTGATTGCATTCATTTTTATATTAAAGTATCTTCCCTGTCATTTTTAATTACTTGGAACTGAACCAGAATTTCCAGTAAACCAAGGATTTTGCTGCAGAATTCAGGTTGTTTACTGCAAAGTTAAACAGCCGTTCATGGTAACTTAATAGATTTATTCTCTGATTTTCATTCCATGCGTTTCCCCCCTCAGTGGGAAGACAAACTCTGTTTTACTTACTTTTATGGAATCTGATCAAATGGGTCTGCCATGCTGTTGACTTAAGCATCCTAATTAATGTGTGTCTTTATTATGCTATTACAGAAATCTGTCCAGTTAGTTAAGTTTCAGTTTCTTGTCCTTAACATTGTTAGAGATGGGAGTCTGGAAGACTGATAGAATTGGACAGGGATGAGATTGGATCTTAGAGCCGTGAAAGTGCCTCTTTGCAAACATTGGAATGGTTAATATTAAGGGTAAGAAAATAGAGAAATCAGGAAATTCAGCAGTAAATTGGGTCATGCGACACATCCTGTGTTAATATTCAACATGACCCAGTTTACTGCTGAATTTCCTGACTTCTTCATGCTTAACTTCTCACTGTTAAAAATGATTTCACATCTCAAATGCTGTTGCACTTTGTGCACATTTTCTTTATATTTAAAGCATTAATCAGAAGCTTTTATCTTTAAGTAACTCACCATGTCTATAACCAATATTGATTGGTGTCCCAGAATTGTGGCTAAGCAAGCAGAGCACAATGGGATATTATAGAAGGGAGAAATGTTTAATTATGTATTTTGTTTTTGGGGGGGAGGGGGCAGGTGCATAAAAATAATGTACAAGTTCAAGACCATGATACATTCTCTGTAATGGGTAAAACTAATATTCTGGAAAATTCTGACTAATGATCATATGGAAATGGTTGCTTTAAGCATTACAATGGTTAGCATTCCTGGCTAAACTTACTGTGAAGTTTTTGTGCGCTCTACTTGAGAATAGGGACATAACTGATTTAAACAGGATTTTAACTGGGATCCTGAGAGCGGTGGGGGTGGGGGGATCTCTCCAGCCCAGCTGGATCAGCCCCCAAACCCACTGGACTGAAGTCCCTGGCCCCACAGGGCTGGAGCAGCCTGCCTACGGTGGGCCCTGGGCAGGGGGGCTGCTCCCAGGCAGCAGTTAACCAGTTACCTGTTCACATTCCTAATTGAGAAGGCCTTGTGTTGTCTGTCCCCCCTCTCCCTCTCTATATAGTGTTTTCTGCTGGATGACAGAAATGTTCCTGCCAACCAACAGAATGATGGCATCACATTATCAGTATCATCAGCATCAACAGGCTGTCTTAGCAAGGCGAAAGTGGCCAGAGAGAGGGGGGTAAGCGAGCGTAGTGAACAGAGTGTACAGGCTCCTAGTAGTCCTTTTAGTTTTGTAGCCTTTGTTGGGCAGGGGGCTTCTAAATATTGTGAAGTGTTATCTTCAGATGAAAGAAAATGAGACAAAATGGATGAGTTGAGGTGGGGAACTGGTTTTGATAAGCTGAGTGAATAGCCTAGGACCAGTGAAGTAAGGAAAAATGGGACTAGGATGAGAAAGTAGAGGCAAGGAAGATGCAAGACAGTGCAAGTAGGAGGGGATGAGGCAGGAAGGAACAAAGTTCAAGGAAACGCAAAGAAAAGTCTGTGCCCACTATGGTATATACTCTTCAAGAGTCTGGAATGGAATCCACAATTCCCAAGTCTCACTATTCCTATGCTATTGACACAAATAGCAGGTTTCACAGATGGTAAAGTGTCTCATTCCTCTCCAGTGCTGGTCCCCCATTGGATAGCCTCGTACTCCTATCTCCTATTCTCTTAGCTCAAGAAGCTGAAATATCTGAAGTGGACTTGAATGTTCTAACCATGCAAGTGTCAGTGTAAAGTCAGCACTCAAATGTTAGGAAATGCCAGAATTAAGGTGACCTGCACAATTTTAAATTCACCTTCCATTGTGCACATAATAGGATGTGATCGTGTAATCGAAGATAGTTTTTTCACCACAGCAACCTGCCTCATTCAATGCACAAGATGGACTACTCTGGAGATTAATATATTCTTTAATGAATTTGTTCCAGAAGTTTGAAGGTGTTCTGTAGTGAACAACTTAAGGGATTTCAGGTAGAGAAAGGATGCTCTCATGGTTTTAAGCTAAATGAATGGTACCCTGAAGAACTGGATTCTATCCCTGCCCCTGCTGGTCGAGTTACTTAAACCAAACTTTGCACACGTCATTACCTCAGTTTTCTGGATTTCTGCCCTGAGGCCCTATGGTGTGAGGTGCAGAACATTCAGCAGCTGCAATTGGAGCCAATCAGAGTGATGCTTTGAACATACAAAATGCTATGTAATGCCAAGCATTCAGAAAATCTGGTTTGGGTGTCTCAACTTGGACACCTAAAATTAATAGATACAACATTAAAATAAAAAGTGTCTCAATTCCCTGTCAAATAGGAATAATACCCCTTCAATTTCACAGAGGTGTCTAAATTCATTCATGAATGTTTATGAAACCACCATATTAAGCCTAAGATGGAATTAATTCTGTCTTTATTGCTCAAACTGCTCTACAGGCAGTCCCCGAGTTACGCGGATCCGACTTATGTCGGATCCGCAGTTACGAACGGGGTTCCTCTCCCTGGTCTCCAGCAGACCAGGGAGAGGAAGCAAAGCGGCGGAACACATGGGCAGCGGACAGGGCTGTCCGCTGCCCACGCGCTCCGAGGCTTGGCTCTGCTTTGCCCCCCCATCTCCACCTGGTCTGCAGCAGCAGAGCGTCTGGGCTGTCAGCTGATCGCGCGCTCCGCGGCTTGGCTCTGCTTGGCTCTGCTTTGCACCCTGGTCTCCAGCAGACCAGGGAGAGGAAGCAAAGCGGCGGAACACATGGGCAGCGGACAGGGCTGTCCGCTGCCCACGCGCTCCGAGGCTTGGCTCTGCTTTGCCCCC